ACGAGCGGAGGCCGGGGCCGAATTTTCGGAGCCCACAGTTATGTAGGTTAAATGGACAAATGATGTTATTAGATTGATGGAATAGCATTTGTTGAAAATGAAATAGTGAAAAATAAACTTAAGAGATTTGAGCTAGGACAATAAAAAGATTGATGAACTAAAAAGATTGGTGGATAATTTTGATGCGTCAATAAGATGGGTGAATAATATTAATGACTAGGAACAAAAAGGAGTAGACCAAATTTAACTTAGATAAAAGTTTTGTTAGCATGATAGGTTTAATATCTCAAGCAACACTCAATTATTACAAATGGAGAAGGGGATTTATAAAGTGGTTACAAATATTTGGCATGATATTAATGAGGATGATCTAATATCTTGCCAATTTGTTGGGTTCATTCTATGTATTCTTCTTCACTATCAATTCCTAAAAGGGACTATGTATACAGCCTATCTTAAATGAGTTCAATATGTGCCTCATTTAGGCTATATGACCCTATTATATTAATGGTATTTTCAGGTGCCATGCCTAGTATAAACCTCATCAAAAGTATACCTGATTGCTGTCAATGATTTTGTACATGTTATCTTGTTCATGCTATCCAGACTTTTAGTTTTAATATTATACATTTGTGAGAGGGTTTTGCATAATTGTTTTGTTCTTAACTATTTCACATTTTATGATGCGTATTTCATACCATATGATAACTGCTCTTGCAGATTTTAACAATAACAAATGGGATATACGGGATTTGGGCCGCATACCGTCTGCAACTTACAGGTGAGATTGGTCTGAGTAATAGAATTTGTACCCATCTTGATTATTGAGCTTTATTTTGACCCAAATTGTTAAACTATAAGAATTTCTCATTGATTTTCTGTCATTTTTTGCTATCTGACTTATGCCTTTTACTTTTTATTACTCTTAGGCCGGCCTTCATTGGAGAAGATACTTGAATCGAAGAAAAAGTTAACGGTAAGTAAATCTAATCGTGGTTGTAATGTTCCTTGTTTTTTAGATTGTGGCGATGTTGTAAAAATTGAAATACTATTAATAGCTACAATGACTTGCAACTGTTCTCATAAAGATTAGCGGCAGAACGTCCGGCATCTTGAAAAATTCTTCCGGTGATTAACTGAGAAATCATTTTGCACTTTTTCTAAGGATGGTGTGAGTCTATTTCTTTATAGAAATGCATATAATTATGTAAATCATTGAAATTTATTGTCAAGTGTTGACCTCTGAACAATACCCAAAGGAAAAGAAAATGAAATCATACCGTAGCTCTGTAGGATCCCCGAAATCCTGCTCCGTACCTCGTATCCGTCGAAAGACATCCATAAATCCTGCTGTGCTCGCGTCTCATCCTGGGATTTCTGCTTGAAACCTGCGACTCGCCTCCATCGAGAGCCCAAACGCGTCGTTAAATACCGCACCAAACGAAGCTCTTCCCCCACGCTCGCTTCCTCCGCGCGAAAGCTCTGCTCCCGTCGCTGCTCTCCACTCTCTGCTTCCACGACCGAACTCCACGCGCAAAGCCCCGTCCAACTCTCCTCCCGCAGCCGAAGCTCACCTCCATCTCCGACTGCTCAACACCCGACCTCCACTGCCTGCTCCCATCACCCTCCCTGTGCTGACACCAAAGCCGAGCTCCACCTCCCTCTCCGACTCTACCCCGACCCCAACTCTTGCTTGAGCCGTTCGATCCATACACAGAGAGA